CAAGCTACTCGTGATCATCATCGAGGTGCCGTGGTCACACGAGCACGACGAGGTTTGAGGGCTTTCCTGTGCCGTCGCGACACGCAATAAGACTGTCCTTCGAAATTCTCGCCGCTATTAAGCCGATAATCCGAATGAACAATATTCTGGGATACCTTGAAACTCAGTGGCGCCGGCACGGGGCTAATGCACAGAGGGACCGCAAAGGGAACCTTTGCAACGGCATGGGGGGCACCACTCAATTCTATCAGCTTCCTGCTCAAACAATGCGCTAAGTGCAGTCTGATGAACATCGTCATCCAACAAGTGAAAACACCGCTCAACATCTAATTCGTCCATTCGTGCTCACCGCGGCACCAGAAACGCACGTAACTACATACAAACCATGTACACCCATGCAAGGTGTCGTGTTGGAGGCAGGAGAAGCAGTGCATATCGTGCCGTGCGGAATAAGCAGAGACCACCTCTCAGACCACTTCGTTCAGATACTTGGATCTCTCACTACGGGTCAAGCTACTCGTGATCATCATCGAGGTGTCGTGGCCACACGAGCACGGCGAGGTTGAGGCCTTTCCTTGGCCGTCGCAATACAGACAACACTTTCCTTCGAAATTATCGCCACTACTAGGCCGACAATCCTGGATAACAATCTTTCGGGGTACATTCAAAGTCAGGGGCGTCGGCCCTGGGCAAGTGCACCGAGGGACCCCAGAAGGAACCTCTGTACTGACCTGAGGAGGGACCACTCATTTCTGTTCGACGCTCCTGCTCAAAGAATTGGTCACAGGCAGTCCGATGGACAATCGTCATCCAACAAAGAAAAATACCGCTCATCATCCGATTCGTCCATCTGCGCTTACCGTGGCGCAAGAAACGCACATACATATACAAACACACTATGTGAACCAATATAATACGTCGCACGCCGGTCAAAACAAGAACCGTGCTTGACGTACCGTACGGAATAAGCGGAGACCATCTCTCAGACCACTTCGTTCAGATACTTGGGTCTCTCACTACAGATCAAGCTACTCGTGATCATCATCGAGGTGCCGTGGTCACACGAGCACGACGAGGTTGAGGGCTTTCCCTTGCCGTCGCGATACAGTTCGAAAGTATCGCCGCTCTTAGGCCGATAATCCTGGTTAACAATCTTTCGGGGTACATTCAAAGTCAGGGGCGTCGGCCCTGGGCTGAAGGGACCGCAAAGGGAACCTCTGCACTGGCCTGGAGGGACCACTCATTTCTATTAGACGCTCCAGCTCAAAGAATTGGTCACATGCAGTCCGATGGACAACCGTCATCCAACAAGGGAGACCACCGCTCATCATCTGATTCGCCCAGCTGTGCTCACCGCGGCGCCAGAAACGCACATACGTAGACACAATCCACGTGAACTAATGAAATATGTCGCACGTGGGCCAGGAAACAAACAACCGCACCGTGCGGAATGACCAGAGACCACCTCTCAGACCACTTCGTTCAGATACTTGTATCTCTCACTACGGATCAAGCTACTCGTGATCATCATCGAGGTGCCGTGGTCACACGAGCACGACGAGGTTTGAGGGCTTTCCTGTGCCGTCGCGACACGCAATAAGACTGTCCTTCGAAATTCTCGCCGCTATTAAGCCGATAATCCGAATGAACAATATTCTGGGATACCTTGAAACTCAGTGGCGCCGGCACGCAGCTAATGCACAGAGGGACCGCAAAGGGAACCTTTGCAACGGCATGGGGGGCACCACTCAATTCTATCAGCTTCCTGCTCAAACAATGCGCTAAGTGCAATCTGATGGGCATCGTCATCCAACACGCGAAAACACCGTTCAGCATCTAATTCGTCCATCTGTGCTCACCGCGGCACCCAGACGCACGTAACTACATACAAACCATGCACACCCATGCAATGTGTCGTGCCGGAGGCAAGAGAAGCAGTGCTCATCGCACCGTGCGGAATAAGCAGAGGCCACCTCTCAGACCACTTCGTTCAGATACTTGGATCTCTCACTACAGATCAAGCTTCTCGTGATCATCATCAAGGTGTCGCGGACACACGAGCACGACGAGGTTTGAGGGCTGTCCTTTGCCGTCGCAATACAGACAGCACTTCCCCTCGAAACTATCGCCACTACTAGGCCGACAATCCTGGATAACAATCTTTCGGGGTACATTCAAAGTCAGGGGCGTCGGCCCTGGGCAAGTGCACCGAGGGACCCCAGAAGGAACCTCTGTACTGACCTGGAGGGGACGCTCATTTCTATTCGACGCTCCTGCTCAAAGAATTGGTCACAGCCAATCCGATGGACAATCGTCATCCAACAAAAGGAAAATACCGTTCATCATCCGATTCGTCCATCTGTGCTTACCGTAGCACAAGAAACGCACATACATATATACACATACACACTATGTGCACCAATGTAATATGTCGCACGCCGGTCAAAACAAGAACAGTGCTTAACGTACCTTACGGAATAAGCGGAGACCATCTCTCAGACCACTTCGTTCAGATACTTGGATCTCTCACTACAGATCAAGCTACTCGTGATCATCATCGAGGTGCCGTGGCCACACGAGCACGACGAGGTTAAGGGCTGTCCTTTGCCGTCGCGATACAGTTCGAAAGTATCGCCGCTATTGGGCCGAGAATCCTGGTTAACAATCTTCGGGGGTACTATTTGAAGTCAGTGGCGTCGGCCCTGGGCTAGAGGGACCGCAAAGGGAACCTCTGCACTGGCCTGGAGGGACCACTCATTTCTATTCGACGCTCCAGCTCAAACAATTGGTCACATGCAGTCCGATGGACAACCGTCATCCAACAAAAGAAGAACACCACTCATCATCTGATTCGCCCAGCTGTACTCACCGCAGCGCCAGAAACGCACATACATAGACACAATCCATGTGAACAAATGAAGTATGTCGCACGTGGGCCAGGAAACAAACAACCGCACCGTGCGGAATGACCAGAGACCACCTCTCAGACCACTTCGTTCAGATACTTGGATCTCTCACTACGGATCAAGCTACTCGTGATCATCATCGAGCTGCCGTGGCCACACGAGCACGACGAGGTTTGAGGGCTTTCCTGTGCCGTCGCGACACGCAATAAGACTGTCCTTCGAAATTCTCGCCGCTATTAAGCCTATAATCCTAATGAACAATATTCTGGGATACTTTGAAACTCAGTGGCGCCGGCACGGGGCTAATGCACAGAGGGACCGCAAAGGGAACCTTTGCAACGGACTGGGGGGCACCACTCAATTCTATCAGCTTCCTGCTCAAACAATGCGCTAAGTGCAGTCTGATGGCCATCGTCGTCCAACAAGTGAAAACACCGCTCAGCATCTGATTCGTCCATCTGTGCTCACCGCGGCACCAGAAACGCACGTAACTACACACAAACCAGGTAAACCCATGCAATGTGTCGTGCTGGAGGCAGGAAAAGCAATGCATATCGCACCGTGCGGAATAAGCGGAGGCCACCTCTCAGACCACTTCGTTCAGATACTTGGATCTCTCACTACAAATCAAGTTGCTCGTGATCATCATCGAGGTGTCGTGGCCGGACCAGCACGGCGAGGTTGAGGGCATGCGGGATACATTCAAAGTCAGCGGCATCGGCCCTGGGCAAGTGCACAGAACTTCTCAGAAGCCCTCTCAGAAGTCCAGAAACTTCTCAGAAGCCTCGGAAGTCCCGCCCCTTCTCATTTCCCCCCCGCGCCCGCCGCCGAAAAAGGAAACCTCAGCACAAGCCTGGGGGGCACCACTCACTTCTACCAACGTCCTGCTCAAAAGATGCGCCACGTGCAGTCCGATGGCCAATCGTCATCCAACAAGTGAAAACGCCGCTCAACATCTGCTTCGTCCATCTGTGCTGACCGCGGCGTAAGGAACACACGCAAGTACACACAAACCAGGTAAACCCAGGCAATGTGTCGTGCAGGAGGAATGAGAAACTGTGATCATCACACCGCACGAAAGAAGACTTCTCAGACCACTTCGTTCAGATACTTGGGTCTCTCACTACAGATCGAGCGACTGGTGATCCTCATCGAGGGGTCGTGGCCAGACCAGCCCGACGAGAATGAGGGCTTACCATTGCCGTTACCGCTAAAGGAACCTCTCCAGTGACCTGAGGGCGAAGCCTTCCAGTTCAAATAAAACTAGCACACACAGACACAAACGTTACCTGAAGTCGGATCGACACTCGTCATTCACAAGGTGATGCATCAATATGTGATCACCGTGGCACCAGAAACACGCAAACACATAAACATACAAACCATGCACCAACATACACTACGTCGTAGATGGGACGTAACGAGAGTAGTGCGGACCGCACCCGTGCGAAAAAGAGGAGACCACCATTCAATTAAATTCGGTTAGATACTTTAAGCTCTCTCTACATATCAAGCTACTAGTTCTCATCATTGAAGCTCATCAGCTTGCTCTTCCTGATCCTCCCTGCTCCTTCTGCTCCTCCGCCCGGCATGCTCCCTCTCGTCATCATCATCATCCTCCTCAGATTCCTCATCCTCCTCCTCTTCATCCTCATCCTCCTCATCGTCTTGCTCCCTCTCCTTTACTCCGCCTCCTCCCTTCCTCCTCCTCCTCCTCCTCCTCCTCCTCATTTTCCTCCCTCCCCCTCCCTCTCTCTCTTTTCTCGTCTCCTCCCCATGCCTCTCCTCCTCCTCCTCCTCCTCCTCCTCCTCCCCCTCCGCATCATACTCTTCCCTCGGGGACGGATGAGCACAGGTGCCATCCCCACATGATACCTCCCGATGGCCCCTCTCGTCCTCATCCTCCTCCCAATCCATGTCATACTCATCCCTCCTCATGCCCCACCCTCCTGCCCTTCCTGTCCCTTTTGTTCCTCCTCCTCCTCCTCCCCTCCTCCTCCTCCTCCTCCTCCTCCTCCTCCTCCTCCTCCTCCTCTCCTCGCCCTCCTCCTCCTCATACATCCTCCGATCCGTATTGCATGTCCCTGCACAGTC